CTCTATATCCTATCACACAGATACTTGTTCGTCCATGTTCATTGCTGCTCTATTTACAATATCCAGGACATGGAAACAGCCTAGATGTCCATCAACTGAGGAATGGATAAATGGATAATAAAAATGTGGCATATATACAATGGAATGTTATATAACTGTAAGGAAAACAAAATTATGAAATCTGCAGGTAAATGGATGAGGTTGGAGATAATCATTCTGAGTAAAGTCACCCAAGCCCAGAAAGAAAAATGCTTCATGTTCTCTCTTATATGTGGTTGTTAAGTTTTGAATCTTTAGATATATGTGTTTTAACTCGAGTACCAATAGAAATCAGAAAACTAGAAGGGGGCCATGTGGGATGATTTCAGGGAAGGGAGATAGAATTCAGATGGTATGAAGGGGAAATGAGGAATAACAGAACAGGAAGGGATAAATGGGTTGGGGGAATGGGAGGGTAGGGTAGAGGAGGGAGTCTAGGGAGGGATAACTAACAGAAAAGACATTGAAAACGTCAAAGGAAAACCTACTACTGTAGAAACTTCTGAAAATGTATACTGATACATATCAAAAAGAGCTTAAATGGAGTTAGCTTATACCGGAGGAACAATGCCTCTCCCAGACACCGCAGGCTATCAAACAAAAGTGCAGTGATAGGTATGGGTTACTTCTTTTCAAGTTGTTGGTCAGCAGGGTGCCATAGACCCCTACCCCAAACATAAAGGCTATTCTCATTACTCTTGGTTACCCTCCAGAACTTGATGGTAAGACCTTACTGCTGAAGACACCACATACTTGAGTCATAGAACATGGAGAAATCAAGCTGTTACTGACTTGGAAGCTTCATCCCAACTGGCTAGCCTTTATAGTGCTGGAAGGGTCTATGCATGCTACCAGAGGAGAAAAGTGGCTAACAGTATTGCCTAGATGTGAACTCTGAGAGCTACAATAACAAATGGCCTGGTAAGATATGCACACAGGTACAATAGTGACACAGATATTATGGGAGCAACCAACCACTCCAACCGCTTTCCAGACATTTTAACATCTATTTTTTAACTTTTAATTATGAGTGTATATTTGTGTGTGTGTGTGTGTGTGTGTGTGTGTGTGTGTGTGTGCACATGACTCCCATGGAGGCCAATAGAGGGCAGTGGATCCCCCAGAGCTGGAATTATAGGCAGTTATAAGTCACCCAACTTGGGTGCTGGGAATCAAGCTTTGGGTCCTCTGCAAGTGTCCTCACTTTGTTTCTGTTGTCCTCTCTGGTCCCTTCCCAGGCTGGGAGAAAGCTGAAGCAGAACTCAAGGCTTTGATCACAGAGAGCCGCCAGGGTCACAGCACTCTGCTTAGGAAGGTAGCTAGGGGAAGTGAGCACTGGCTACGCTGAGGAGGCAACAGATGCCTCTAGCCATGGAGGATGAAGTGAGTCTCAGAAATAGCAATCCTTGCTCCTCAGCCCTCCCTGACACACATGAGAACCCATGGAAGGAGAGTGGCTGAGGCCCTTCCATAGGGATTCTCCTGGCCTCCTGGACCAACTCTGCTGGGGAGCAGTATGTTGCTCCAAGTTCACCATCAACTTAGCTCTTCTATTTGTTGCTCATCCTTTGTCAAGAGCAAATTCCAGGCAGTTAGGTGATGTCATCATCCCCCTGGAACCCACATCTGTTGCTAAGAGTGGAATGTCTACCACTGTACTGCCTTCATCAGGCCCCACAGTGAGGTCAAAGCTGCCAACATGGCAGGAAGTTTGAACCCTGTGGCTCATCCTCAGCTAATAGGAAGACAATCCAGCTACTTCAGTTACCGTTTGACTATTCCAACCGAAATGTTTTCCCAACCTGGACCTGCATATTCATGTAGTACCAGGTTTTTCTAGCCTCGTTCCTCTATCTCTAGGGACAGAATTCCTCTGCCTCGCTGTTGAGTATTTAAATCATCAACAGCTTTCCCTAGATCACCTCTGAATTCCTGATGTTGTTTTGGGAGATAGAACTTCTCTAAACTAGTTTATGTTCACCTCCCATATTTTGTTAATTTTTTTATGTAAACAGAGTATGAGTTTACGGAGTTGAATAGTTGGGTTAAGGCAGGTATTTACTTGAGTGAACTCATTTTCCACAGAATAGTGAGGAGAACAGATATAAATAAAGAGGTCACAAACATCAATCACTGTAAAGACAATAGAAGAACAAAGCAAAGGTACAAACTGATCAACCGATCAGACGAGAAGTGATATGGCAAGGACCATCAAAGCAGAATCACCTCCCGGTGACTTAGTCCTGGCTATGGGTAATGCCAGTTGCTGTGGTTTCAGAGGTGCAAGTGTTAAAGGCTTGGACCCCAGACTAGTGCTCTTGGGGATGGTGGTACCTTCAGGAAGTGGAGCCTAGTGGAAGGAAGGTCACTGATGACTGGTTCTTGAGGACTATGGGATTCTAGCCTGTGCCTTCTCCCTGATTCCTGGTTATAGATGTAATTATCTTGTTCTAATATATGCTCCTGCTATGATGTGCCGCCATCTACCACCCTCCTTGGAATTGTGTTGGACGCACCTTGCCCTCAAACCTCCACAAAATCTGGTACAGGTTAGCTGCTTTGGGTATTTTGTAGTTATAAAGCCAGGCTCTAAAACAACACATCTTCATTCTTACTGCCTAATGGTCTTTCACAGTGAAATCACTCGTATCATATATTCTCTATTGGTGAAATAAAAATCTAGAACAGGATCCTATTTAATGGTGAGACATGAGAGCTATTAGCATTTCAAATCTGTTAGAAGTCACTGACTGGTTCTTAGGCAAACTCTAGCTAGATATTTCTACCAGATTTATGAGAGGTTTTTGTTTGATTTTCTGCCTGAAAATTCAAGGACACTTTTCCTAGAGTCTGTTCACCAATGTATAACACAGCTTAGTGAGCACATAGGGGGCATGGCTGTCCTCCATCTCTGGTTGCCCACACAGTGGCTTTGACTCCTCTATTGTCAGAGGCCCTTTAGAGGAATACTTAGAAGAAACCTTCTTTCTATTCTCTGATTGACTCTGGCTTGTGTGAGATGTGCTCTTCCTTATGCAGGAAAAGCCACTCCTATTTTGCCCTGTCTTCTAATGGAAAGCCAGGTGTTAAAGACAATAGGCAGCCCCTTTATCATTCAGGCCTTTCCAGTTGGTTATTTCCTAGGCACTGGCTTGTTCTTTGAGCTATAGGACATAGGGAGTCTGTCTTTCAGGCTGAGGCCTGCAGGTGTCAGTCTCATGCGCTTCCCAGGGCAGGTCACTTGATCCATTACTTCTGCTGGCAAGAGATGATTCAGAAAGTCCACCATAGCCTCTGGAGACAGCCCTCAGACATCATCAGGAACACATCTGAGTCAACTGTGGGACGACTGAAGACTAAATATTTAAACTGTGTGTCCCAAGACACCAGGTGAAAGTGATACCAGCTTCCTGGAAGGTTGAAAACTGAGGCTGAAGCCCCAGCAGTCCTGACCTGGCCTGGCCCAGGATGCTGTGGGTGGTGGGTCTGTGTTCTTGGTCTTGAGTCCTGGAATAGGGCAACATGTGGGTAGCAGTACTTATGGGCCCCACATAAAGTGTGATCAGGGCACAATGTATCTCCTAACTGGGCTTGAACTTGGAAGGAAATATTATAAAAAGCATGTTTTCTTTTTGAGGAGGTAAGGAAGCACCATTATTGATGTTAATTAGGAGTCTTGTCTTCTTTGAAAATCATTCAAGATCCCTAGGTATGCTTTGATTGAAAAGTCAGAATTGTATGAATATTGTCTGTGCTGTCTTTTAAGTGCCTCAAAGGTTATTTCCTCTCATTCTGAGAAGAACCCAGCAGAGCACCTGGCATGGAAACATGCATATGAGCAGCTCAGCACATCAGAGAAGACATCAGCCATCAAGTCAGAGCCCCGATCCCCTCTTAATGATGATATAGTTGATACTGGATACCTCATTTCTTTCTTCCCTGGGGTGGGATGCTAACAGCCAAGGGGGAATTCTATCACCAGCTCATCCTGGGATAAGTAAAAATTTTAATCCAGATGATATAGCCAGAGGCTTGTGTGTTTTACCTCCTGCTCTTCTGCACTGTATCTGGTAAAGCTGGTGAAGGTGGGGAAGAGGAAGCTGGGAAAATTGAGGAAATGAAGCCTGTAACTAATTCCCTAGCCCTCTCCTGTCCATCGCTTTCTAAGAGGAGCCATAATCGCCTCCAAGTTGTTGCTAAAGTCTCCCTACCCCAGCTGTCAGTCCCAGGTCAGTGGACACTGGAGAATCTGACCTGCCTATGAAGACCTAGGACACCAGGTACCACTTGCTTCTATGAGCTTGCTCCTGTGCTATCTGGGACAGTGAGGTGGGGCTGGTGAGAAAGGGTACCAGTAATCTAAAGTGACATGTAATTGGCTTTCTCTATCTCATTCAGACACTGGTTCTGAATTCTCCTTGACAAGGCACTTCTTCCAACGAGTGACACAGAGACATGTGCAGACAGCTGCTTTCCCTGTGCTGGATGGAGGACGAAAGAAGCAATAGCAAAGTCTCTGAGGATGTGCCTGTGGCTTGAATCCTGGGCCTCGAGCAAACACAGCCCTGGCTAGACTGCTCATAAGCATGGCAGATGAAATGGGAGGGGGGCAGAACAGGGACTTCCCTGGATCTGGGGTTGGGGGATGGCTAGGAGAGGTTTGGTTTGCCAGACTGTTGGAAATGGGAAGAGAAAGATTATGGTTTAGCTCACAGAAGGGCCATGGTTCACCCCTGGAGGAATCTATTTCTTGTGAGTCCCAGTGATGGATAAGACTATGAGGTAAGGTTTTGTTTCAAGGAGTTGGCCTGGTTCAGCTCTTGGCCAGTGTAGCTGCTACAGCACTTAGCACTAGAGAAGGGGTGGCCCCTTCTCCCTCTCACCTCCCATTCCAGTAAATGCATACCCACCCTCTTTTTCTCCATGCACGCCAGTGAAGCAGCCTTTTCTCAGAGACCTACCTTGGGTTTGAAGGCAATGAACTTCAGGATCATCTCCACAGTGAAGAGGCCAGTGAAGAGCATGTTGAGTATGTTCATGGCAATTTTGAACAGGCAGCTCTGGCCATAGTGCTAAGTGGAGGGAGGAAGAGGAGAATCATGAACATGAGGCAGAGGTCCTGTGACTCTTTATCACCTTTGTCCATTCTTCTCGGATGCCCCCATCCCAACAGAGAACTTCTTTGAGCCATCTTTCCACAAGGCTGCCCACCACACCTTGGCCAGTCAGGTAGACTCTGAGCTCTCCAAGTTCTTCCCCTTCCTACTGTCTCTGACAATGGGGTTGGCAGAAGTCTGTGTTCCTGCCAATTGGGCATGATGATTTCTGGAGGTCTGGCACTTGAGAACCTTGGCACAAGCTGATTTCATTGTACATAGGGAGTTGCTGAGTTCACTTCCACACCCCATGCCCTATGATGAATGCTCCCTCTCAGTTCTCTACCTCCTTTTCTCTCTGCTATTAAGCCAGGGCTCCTAGGGATTCTTCCACAGGGACCAGAGGGACCTCATCCTTGGGAATAGACACTTGTCTCTCTTCAGCTCGTCTGTCCTTTCTGCCTTTCCTGGCTGCAGGCAGGTGACCAACTTAGCTGGACCTACAGTTGTTTTATGCTACATCCCCCGCCCCAGGCTGTGCTGGTGGGGCTAAGCCCTCTAGACACTGACCTGCATGGCCAGGCAGATGGTGTTGAGCAGGATGAGAACGAACATCAGATACTCGAAGTAGGTAGAGTTGACCACATACCACACTTTGTACTGGTGCTGGTTCTTGGGGATGTACCTCCGCAGGGGTCGGGCCTTGAGGGCGTATTCTACACACTGTCGCTAGAAGGAGCAAAGAGAGAAGCTGGGAAGGGAGGGGATGATGGGGTGTATGTGTCACCCCACCTTGGAATGGGGTTTGTGGGCAGTCAGGAAGAGACTTTGTTGCTCTAGTTCATAGGTGTGAGGTATGACTTGAAGGATGCTTTGATTTTTCTATTCATTAGTTAGGGAAGGAGGTCCTTCCAGACAAATCTTATATAGATTGCAAGCAAGGAGCTGGGTCTCCTTTTTGCCAACATGATATACTGCTCAGCAAGTGATCGGCATTTGCTAAACTGATTGGCTTATAGCTGGTCTCATAAGTTATGCCCTACACCACAGATCTTCACCAAGCCTGAATTTTCTTTTCTATCCTAAATCCATCTTCCATATTGTCCAGTGTATACAAGATGAGAGGACATAGTTCACTGACAGGAGAGGAACTCTTAGTCTGGCTGCATTCTTGTCAATCTAGAAAATGTCAGTTAACCCTCTGCATAGAACCCAAATTCCCAAATCAGGAAGCAGAAAGTCATTCCATCCTGCCTAACCCTCAGACTCCATGCTCAACCCCCAGGTCTTGCTGATTTGACCCACTGCTCTCACATCGCTAGTACAGTTAACTTATCCTAGACAAGGCTCTCCACACGTCCCATCTACATGTCCTCATTGGCCACCCTCCTTGTCTTTGTCTATACGGAGGCCAGAATTATGACTCTAAACCTAAGTAGTAGATATCACATCGAAGCCCATGAAGGGTCCAGCTTTACTGGCTTATATTGATCTGAGCATGCTGGGCTGCATCCTTCCCCTGAGCCTGCTTTATTCAGAACGTATTTCCACGTGGGCTCTTCCCATTGGGAATTCAGAGAGCGCTGACCCTGGGTATCGCACCTAGGTCCTGTGCTAACAGCTCATCGCTCACTTAGGGAGCTGCTAGCTCTTTCCCATTAGCTAACAAACACATCCCCTTCCCTGGCATCACTGTGTCACTTCTGCTTATGCCTCTCTCCGACCTCCACTCCTGCTCAGACCTCTATCTCGAGAAGCCATCTAAATGACTTCCTGAAACCTCTCTCTTGTCCATCCCAAGCTCCCTCTCCCTCACTGCTCTGGTTTGTCTGCTCTCCTTTGTCAATGGTGCCAACACACCCAGGTACGGTATAACTTGTCAACTTCTAGATACGACTTGAGTTTTTTTCCCACAGAGCCTATCACAGAATATTGTTAAATGGAACCTTAACATGTATTTTCTGGCTGAATACATTTTACAGACCTGGGATTTGTGTCTGGCAGGTCTGGAAAATGCAGGATCCACATTCTGCTACAGAAAGATGGAACACCTGTTCTGTTCGAGAGGGTCAAGGACCTCAATGTCTACCCAGGTCTCTCCCTAGACTCTAGCCTCTCTTTTGGGTGGGCCCTTAGCTGCTGAATTCTGCCATTCCTTAGGCAGGCCTTGCTTTCTCTCTTGCCCCCCTCTGCTCCTTCCCAGAAAGCTACCTGGTTCTTGTCCAGCTCACAGTTCTTGTACTCTTGTTCCCCTTGCTCTTGGAAGGTGACGATGACGAAACCCACAAAGATGTTCATCATGAAAAAGGCGATGATGATGATGTAAATGATGAAGAAGATGGAGATCTCCACACGGTAGTTGTAGATGGGGCCCTTGTCTTCTGTGTGGGAGTCGATGGAGCGATACAGCAGCCTACAGGAGGAGACAGGCTCACAGAGTGAACTGGAGAAGCAGTGTCACCTCCATGGGATGATGGCACCACTGCTCCCAAGGATCCCTGCAATCAAAGGAAACAGCTCCAGGCTGGGGTCTGGGCTCGGGTCCCAGGTGACCTGGGCAAATCACTGAACATCTTTGGGACTCAGTGTCTGCGACTGTCAGGTGAAAACAATTCCCTACTTTCCTACTTTGCCAGGGCCGTTGATAGCATATATATATATAATGCTGTTTTGAAACTGTCAAGAGCTATTTAACTGTTACATGCTTCACTGACATAAGTTTCAAATACAGAAATACTGGTAAATATTGAAACAGCTTTGCAAACTGGCATAGACTCAAAGGTGGTTAAGACCAAACAAAATAAATCTGAGAAAAAATATCCATTTTAGATAAAATAAAACTAACATGACCCTTGCTTTTTCAGGTCATCCATGGTGGTTTGGGTTATTCTTATATATATTTATGTGATTCATTTCAGTCTGGACTATGTGCCCCACTGAGCTTGTTCTGCATGGAACAGGATGATTTTCTCCCTTCTTTTATAATCTCAGTATGTGGCTATTCGCTATATATTGCCATATAATGGCAAATTCCATCTAAGACCAATGCACTGCTGGATGAGGTCACTGGTGTCTAAACCAAGATACAAAGAGTACTAGATAGACAAACTGCCTGCTTCCAGAAATACTGTGTGAAGGCCGATAGGCTGGTCCAGGAGGGAAAGCATCACCTCTGCAGAGAGGCTGGGGCCCAGGCCTTTGTCTCTTTTTTACTTTATACTGTCAATGTAGACAAAGATTTCTATAAGGAGACTAATATAGAGTATAATTAGAGACGACTCTGCTACCTTTACTCAAGCCAGCTACATACTGAGAGTAGTAATCTGGAACTCTGTGGTGATCAAAAGGCCTACCACACTTGGAGAATTTCTCTGCATACTTGACTCCAAAATACCAAAAGGATTGTGGCAGAGACCCCTAATCTTGTGGCTCATGCTGATCTGGGGAAAAGGAGTTTAAAAGGTGTTTGTTTTGGTTGGGGTTTCTAAAATGCTGCAAATACAACATGCTTAGCATGCACAAGGCCCTGAGTTTAATCCTGAGCAACACTTCACCTTTACATGAGCCTGTGTTTCTGCAGTTATCATGGCCTATAGAAGTTCTAGAAACATACCCTCATTGCCTGGGGATGTCACAAGGCTGACCTCTGGGAAGCATCAAGGGAATTACTGGTTGTGAGCCTGAGCCTTTAATGGCTGTGCCAGCTCTCCAGCACTGAATCAAGGGAATTATTAAGACTTGGGTAATAGCTGAATGGCCGGTTTCTTGACCCTCTAATATTATGGTTGTGAGCCTTGGAATTCATACTCACTCTGGCCACCCCTCAAAGGTGGAGACAGTGAAGAGGGCCATCATGGCTGCCAGAACATTGTCAAAGTCAAACTTGCTGTTCTCCCAGCTGCGGGGCTGGATAATGGGATGGTCAACCTCTCCATCTTTATATGTGATATAGTTACCCCTGAGAGAGGAGGAGAAAGAGTTAATCCTGGGGTGTCCCATTTCCTCACTACCAATGATTCCTGACAAGCTTGGTGGGATGCTATCATACCATTCCAGCCATCAGAAGAATCTATGGTCAGCAGCTTGAGGAATAGTTAACGCTACATGCCACAATTGAGATCGGATAGTAGATGGGTCAGAGGACAGTCTTCCCTCCTCTCTAACCAAGCCACCAACCTTCCTCACTCTTGGCTCTGAGAGCCCTCCTCCTTATACTCACTTGCATTCTGCCTCTGTCTGTTTGGAACTATCTGAACAGGTGTAGAGTTTTCCCTAGAAGACAAAAGAACAAGGCGATTAGAGATGTTCCTCAGTGAATGGATCCACTGGAAGACGGTAAGTGAGGCTGTCTACAGCACCGTTCCGAGTTCAGTCTTAGAAGATAACAAATACAAGATGAACAGAATCCAGACGGAGAGGACATGATTCACATTCATAGAGCTGAAAGTGCCCTAAAAATTCAAAAACAGGGAGCTCCAATCTGGGAAGGTTGTACTCTCTAGGAAGTCTTAAGAGGAAGAAGAAAGTAGAGCTGGGCTTGAGGGGTGGTGGTGGTTATAGGCAGAAGTCAGTGGAAGTTTATGCAGTGAGGGTGAGGGGCAGAGCAAGTATGCTTCAGGCGAGAGACCAGAAGAGCTAAGGATGGAGGTGACAGAAAAGAAGAAACCAGTTAGGTGTATGGTCAGTGGGTATGATACTGTTGCTAACCAACTGCTGTGGGTTTTAAGCCTGGGACCGACACACAGGTACCAGAGGATGAAAGTCATTTGGAATAAAGGACAGCCAACTGAAGGGTGGCACAGCCGAGTGGGCAGGGGGCAGAGCCTCCTTCCCGTTCCTGCCTGGGTTTGGGAAGCCTGAGTAGGTTGTGGTCAGAGATCACACTGGCCACACGTCTGATGTGGGCTGTGGTCCTCCTCTTGTTTTGGTTGACGCCCTTTCCCAGGAATGCTGGTGGGAGGGGAAGGACACATGAAAGGTGACTTACCTTGAAGAGCTGGACTCCAATGCAGGCGAACATGAACTGCAGCAGCGTGGTGACAATTACAATGTTCCCGATGGTCCGGATGGCCACAAACACACACTGTACTACATGCTGCAGTGGGAAGAGGGGGCGGGACAGGGACAGGACTTCAGCCTGAGCAGCCTTGACTAAGCCCTGAGCTTCCCAAGGAGGCAGGGTAGGCAGACCCTATACACTAAGTGGGAGAAATTCGGCTTACAGAGGCTGGGCAACCTTTCTAGAGTCACACTGATAGAACTCATGGATGGCAAAGGTCCCTTGGACTCTGAGTGGCCACAGGGGTAAAAAGACCAAACAACGTTAACTCAAAAATTCCTTCCCCCTTGCCTTAGCCCTGTCTTTCTTTGAACCTTGGCTGAGTGGAAAAGTGGTATGTGTATCCTGTGACATCTGTCTGCTGAGCAAAGTAAGGGACAAATAGAGAAATTCAACTGCCCTGAAGACCAATTCTTGGAGCCAGCCCTGTAACTGCCTGGTAGCCCCCCACTAGGAACCAGCTACCAACTTCACACAACCCTATATAAACCCTAGCCCTGGCAAAGGAGGGTCAACACATTCCTTAGTGGTCTTTGGCCCTTCTCTGTCTATGGAGAGTGAAGGAAATTCATTGCTCGGCTATCCCAGTATCAATCCTTGCTCCCTATGATCTTGGCTTCCTTTTCCAACTAACATTGTGGTGGCCTAAATAAGAACTCTTTCTTGGCCATTCTCGGCCCCTCTTCACTCTAGTGCTTGTACTAGCTGGCTGATTGGTCCATGGACAACTGCTCTGATTGTAGCTACTCTTTAGTGAGATCAAGAGGCCTCTAGGATGTGACTCTGGATGGTCATCATCACTCAGAGTATGAGACAGTCCCCTTTGGTCCCCTGTGGAACATCTTATTTCTCATTTGCAATGAATGAGCCCTGGCTAAGGCTATATTTTTGTGGTTCCTGAAGGCAAAAGAAAAGGTCAGCCTGCTGCAGCCTGTATGATAAGCTACTTTTCCTTCCTGAGAAAACCTCCTGAGAAACCTCCTGAGATTCTCTCTTATCTCTTCTTGCGCCTCTTTCTCCATACCCTAAATGCCACCAAACCTCACTGGACCTCCTGGCTGTCAGTGATTACCCTTCAGGAATACTGCAAGTTAAAAAAGGAAAGATTTGGAGGAAGACTGACTCTGTTGAGAGAGAAGACATCACTGTTTCAGGCAGGAAGTTCTCTCTCATTTCTCACTTGGAAAGTCCTAGTGCAAGGTCTACCCTCTCCTTCAACAAACTGGCCCTGTCAGGGACACCCCTGAGAGCCTCTCCATGGTTGGAATCCTCCCTTTCAAGAAGACTGCAATGGAGTATGGACACTGCTCTTCAGTCTCCTCTCACCAGTCAGGGCTGACTCTCTCCTCAGGATGCTAGGGAAAGGATTCCATTTTTCTTGCCTCATTCTGCTCTTTTCTTTCCTCAAAACCATTTTTACTCTATGTGACGGTGAGTGTTGTCAACTTGACAGGCTCTGGAATTACCTAGGAGACATCCTCCAGGCACATTTGTGAGGGATGATTTAGCCTCTGGGCATGACTGTGAGGGATTATGCTGATTAGGTTAACTGAGGTGGGAAGACCCACACTAAAATTGCACAGTAACAACTCCTAGGCTTGGGTCCTGGACTGAATGAAAAGGAGACAGCTAGCTGAGCACAAGCATTCAATGTTCTCTCCTTTCTGATAGTGGTTGTGATATGACCAGCTGCTTCAAGCTCCTGCTGCCTTGACTTCCCTGCCATGATAGACTGCACCCCTGATCTGTGAACCAAAGGAAACCCTTCTTCCCTTGAGTTACTTTTACCATAGCATATTATCACAGCAATAGGAAAAGAAACAACACCACCACAAGTGTTAACATGGGGAATGCCCAATTGGCCCCTCCTAAAGACTTTCCCTTAGACTGTCTCTTAAAAAGCCTCAAGGCTGTCTCCTTAAAGTGAGATATTCAGCCAAACACCTGTGTTATGTCACAAGCCTATAGACAACCAGTCCCTAAACTGAGAGGATTGCTAAGAACACACCTAGCCTCCTTGCCGTCCAGGGACTGGAGGCAGCCTGATGGTGTCTCACAGTTAACATATTAACCAACTCCATATGGTACATAGGCTACCTTCATAGGTCATGTACAAACCTGGCCCATTGTTCTGTGGCTTTGTGATGCAGCCCTTCTCCACACCATATGTCCACCCAAGGGAACTTAGGAAGACACTTCTTTGTCTTCAGGGGATGAAGCTTTATGTCATACCCCCATCATGCTGCTGGTACTAATAAATCTATTACCTAAATGATGATTTAATTCTCTCTCTCTCTCTCTCTCTCTCCATCTTTCTCTCTCCTTCCTCCTCTTCCTTCTTGCCTCCTCTCTCTCCCTAAAACCTAAGATTTTGGTGCTAAAATCTAGGAGAAAGATGTTGCTGTGGTGAATCCTCCTACTGAGCTCTTCTACTCTTGTTAATTTCTTCTCATTCAACACCAGACCTCCACTCCACTCTCCTCTGGTGAGTCACCTGAGTTCTTCAGGACCCCACTCCAACCAGCCATCTGTTTCAAAACTCCTAGAGCTAGGTGAAGGGCTTCCCCTGAGCTTGGGTCTGTTCCCAAGAGCCTGTTGAGCCTAGGGGTGATGCTTTTTCTTGGCCTTAGTCTACCATCAGCACACTGGCCACACCTCTGGAAAGGAAACCAGGGAATGTGAGGATGCTTGTCCCCTTACTCCATTTCCTCTGGACCCACTTGACTCCCCAGACTTCATAATGGGTTCTAGGTCTCATCTCCGTAAAGATTCTCCCCTTAGCTACCTTCTGCATAACCTCAAAACACACTATTTTGGGGACAACAGCAAACCTAAAAACCTGATTTTTCTCTTGTAACACTGTCTGGATACAAAACAAGCTGGACAATGACAGTCAATAACCTTAAAATAGTACCTTAAAATGGCAATTTTAGTATCTTAGAGACTTAGATAACCGCATCAGTATAATAGCAGGTGGTCCGAAATCCCTCGCATTCAGCCATCTTTCCTCATCTCCTTACCTCCCTTGACTCCTCTTCACACTGGTGCTCCTTTTGGCTGGTCAAGAGACCCTACAGGCTAAGGAGCTCCTTTCGGCCCCTCTGTAAGGGCAAAGGGCTACTTTTCATCTTTCTGTTAGCATCTTCTTACTCTCAAGGTATGACACAGGGATAACTTCACCTGCCCAGGAGAATCCGCATACACTGTGAAAACTCCGTTTCCTTCTCCCCTCACTCTTTATTTCTTGGCCCGGCACTCATGCCATCCACCCCTCTTCAAAGTAGGAGGAATCTGAGTGTGCAGCTCAAATGTTGACAATTGTACCTACAGCCTTCATTCCTGGTCAGAATTCCTGATCTGAGAGACCTACTAGACCCAGATTTTCCATTTCTCTAGGATGCCGAGTTTCCCTTCCCCTCACAGCTGACCTCTGACCATTTTCAATTTGTCAGTAACTCTTCGAGGTTAATGCAACTTAAAACAGGATTTCACCTCTGTGTCAGTAGGACCCATGATGTTCTGGTTTACCCCTGAGATCTTTATATCCACTCCCAAACCAAAACTGCTGACCACCTATCAGGCACATTCTAGCTTCTCTAGAGCCAGCAGCCACTACTCATTCCTGCAGCTGCACCTCCACTCCACAACCTGCCCCAGCTTCCTCCTCTACCCTCTCTCCCTTTCTCTCTTCCACTTCCCTCTGCTCTGCAGAGCTCTCTCCAAATGCTCAGACACTCTGCCCAGATGAAATCTCCCCCTTACACATTCACTTGAGAACTTTATATGGAAAATTCAAGAGTTAAAATGATCCCCGCTCCCTTAAAACATCTACTAACACTAACTGGCTTACTGCATTGACTTAAGTACTACAGACTATCTTCTGCCTTCCCTGGGTCCCTCTCAGTGTTGGAGTTAACCTCAGTATCTTTTGTGATACATTTTACCTTGTTTCTCCTAAGAAGTACGTACATTCTGACTGTGTCATGTCTGTTTATGGTAACTATTTTCATGGAATTGTTTTTATGTCTCATTCTCTGTCCCAAGAAAGCCCTGAATAACAAAAAAATCTCTGGCCACTTCATTTATATATACTTTTTAATGCTATTGAACACTATTCTTGCCATATGCCTAATTTTAAGATATGCATATATTTATACAAATGTAAACATTTTTAAAGATTTTTAACTGCTCCTGACTCTTGAAAACCAGATTGTTTTCAAGGTCCATATCTTAGCCAAGCCTAGATGAGATACAACTCTAAAAATATGGAAGTAACCGAAGAAAAAGTGGTCATTTTGAAAATGCTTAACCTACTTAAAGACAGAAAGACATCTTGAGGTTTGCAGCTGATCTTAATGTGTTCCATTACATCGTAAATACAGTTTTTCTTTTATATTGTATTTGGAGCAATAACTTATCGCTGTGCCTTCAGGTTTAGAGAAGGATGAAATACTTTAAATAAAATATTTGTTAAATGACTAAAACCCTTACTACAAAGGTAAATAGATAACCCCAAAGTAAAGGAGGTAAACACAGGATGAGACAAAGATTCTTGACTTTGATGCTGCCTTTAGTCGCCATGGAGACTCAAATGACAAGTCATTGCTTTTTAAACAAGAGGGCACTGAACATATTACTGAGTGTTCCTTACGGTGTTTACACCACATACTGAATGTCAAAGTGAAATAATGTCACAAAAATGTCATAGATACAGGTCATCAGTGCTGGAGAGATGGCTCAGAGGGTAAGAGCACTGACTGCTCTTGCAGAGGACCCCGGTTCTATTCCCAGCACCCACATGGCAGCTACAAACTGGCCTTAACTCCAGTTCCAGGGGAATCCGAAGCCCCACAGCATTGCACGATACAGGTGCAATCACCTACATGCAGGCAATACACTCATACACATAAAATAAAAATAAATAAAATATTAAAAAACAATTAAACAAAGAGAAAACATCAGATGAAAAATAGATACAACTTTCAGAAGTAAAGGCAGATATATAAACTGTTTCAGATATAAAGTGTGCTTTTTTA